CCACGGTCTGGGCCATGGGACTGTAAAGTGTCTCTGGGAGCCAGAGAGCCAAAATGCCTGCGAGAATCCCAAAAATTCCAAAAATCACCAGCGGTAGTGTTCTGCTCAAGAGTGGAAGGTCAGCCTTAAAAAGAAACAAAAGTAAACCTTCACTGTATTTCCTCATGAAATCCTCTGGGCCAGAGGCTTATTTGAAGTTTCGGACGAATGGAGGACGGGCGAACTATTAAAAACGTTATGTTGGCACTAATGCGCACAAAAATAGCACGCAAATCAAGAATGAGAAATTTGTAACTAGTATTTATGCTGGCCAGTGCTGGTTTAGTTATTTTAGTTAACGTGTAAACAATTATAGATCCGAAAAGAAAGAAGCTTGTCTTGCAATATATAATAACGATTACTAAAGCAAAAGAAAAAAGAGGGGATTTCATATTTGCTAGTAAGTTAGTTGTGAGTGCTTTTTCTTGAGAGGGCGCTTATTTGAGAATGAGGCAAGGCAATATAGCTGGGCGGTTTTTGATGCAATAATGGTACAAACCAGTAACACGATGAATGGTGTTATTATGCTGCCAAAACGAGCCATCATAGAACACACGCCAATGCCAGTATTCCTACAAAGAAATAACAATGATGATATTGACTTAAGGGAATAACAGTCTGGAGGGTAGCGTAAGATTTCGAAGATGTACTCACTGGAAGATTAACGCTCTGAGATTCTTACCGGCTATTCTTACTGCGATTCCCGTAGTGATTCTTACTAAGAAGGGAGAATCTTACCGGAGATATTCTTATTACGATTCCCGAGGTGTTTCGTTCTAAGATTCTCACCAAGATTCCTGTAGTTATCCTTACTAAGAATCTTACTTTATTGTTACTAAGATTCCCGTAGTGATTTTTACTAAGATTCTTACCTATTCTTAATAAGATTGCCATAGTCATTCTTGCTAAAAGATTCTTTCTTATTCTTACCAAGATTTCCCTAGTGATTCTTATGGAGATTTTTACCTATTCTTAGTAAGATTCCCGTAGTGACTCTCACTAAGATTCTTTTTTACTCTTACCAATATTCCCTAGTGTTTCTTACTAAGATTCGTACGTATTCATACTAATATTCCCATAGTGATTCTTAGTCTCGCAGCTTCTTAAAAACTTGGTTCTTACTTGCTGCTCTTTTACTGTTTATCTTTCATTCCATGCAATGGGAAATGGAGGGGTAAATGCAGGACCGATCCATTTTAATTTAAATTTTATGATATCTTCAACAATTTTATGAAACGGCTATATGTAGATTTGAAAGTCTTTTATCAGGTCTATATTTTATTTTCACTCTTACATATTTTGAAGTCAGGGACACTAAGCATTATCATGCTTCTCTGTATTTCGAACTTAAGAGCGCCTATCCTTGAATACAGAAAATGAGGTTGTGGCTTACTTACCTGATGATGGTAGGATAGAGTTCCACAGTGAAGACATAAATCCCCAAGAATGTTGCCAAGATACAGGCCTTTCCAATAACAGCCAGTATGGTAACAATAAACCGCAGTCCTTAGGTACAATAAACGAGACAAGTTAAATTAGCACTGCTATTCCAACTTTTTGCTCTGTGTGAAATTCTGGAAGCTGATTGGTTGATTTTCGTGTGTTATTGGCATTTAATGAATGATTTTCAAACGTTAAGGAGATAGTACAGTATGTTGCCCAGTATCCGGACGGTACCAGTATCCGGACACTTAAAACAAAAACTCAATTTTTGAGGCGCCCTTTTCAGTTATCGGTAAACGAAGTATTTCGAATGAAAGCTGAACATTTCGGCTTTGAGATGAAGGTTTTGGCGAGTTGAAAGCTTGCGAAACAGTCGCAGAAGACGCCGTTCTGTTCAGGTGAATAAACATTTAAAAACATATAAGTAACACCCATAATTATAACACGAGATCCGTTTCCAATAACAATATTACAACACCAGCTTGTAAAAGGAACTCTGGCCTCAGAACGTTTCACTCAAGCGCTTGCCGTTTGTGGAACGCCCTTGATCCCGAACCTAAGACACTCTCCCATACTAATTTTAAAAATTACTTATTTAAACTTTACCGCAGTATGATTTCTTTTCTTGATCATTTTAAGATTTGTAAAACCTTTTAGTTTCATTAGTAGTCTATTAATCAATATTGTATTAATAGAGGTTAATTATGTAATTTTAGTTGGTAGATTATATAGGTAGTTAATTAATTAATCGATACATTTTATTACTTTAATTGTAGGAGGGCCATTATCAAAACTACTGGGTGACCAGTAATCAATGTCTTTACCCTCGTTAAATAAAGTTATTACTTACTTACTTACATTTCATGGCTAATATTTACGCTGTTTACTGCGCAGTAAAATTAGTGCTGCTCACAAAAGGGTAGGTAATATGTGATATTTTCAAAGAAACGGTTTTATATTTAACGTGAAGATACTTAAAGAAGTCAGGTTCTCAGAAAGTTTATTAATTCTTCTTAAAATTCGATTTGTTTGGAATAGCGGAGCCCAGAAACATTCACTAAGTATTGATGTCAGGTGCCCAGTATCCGAACAGTTTGCCTGTCGAAATTTATGTACAATTACGTTGTTATTGTTGTGTCCGGATACTGGGCCAGCTGTCCGGATACTGGGCAACATAGGAGTTCTGCAAAAATATTAATTTCGCGATGGAACCAGAGGCAAAAAAGTTAAACTGTCTTTTGTCATATTAAGGACTAAATAGATTTTCTCTGGGCCAAATTTCAGAGCTCTTGCGATCAACAAAGGAAAGTTATTGCAATGTTAAACTGAAGTGTCCGGATATTGGGCAACATACTGTAGCGTTTTTGTTTTTGTGATACAGAACACTGAACTTGGACATAAAAAGAGACAGAAACTTTTTGGTTGTGATTTACTGGCAAAAAAATTCGGTTTCTCGCTATCGCTGCAGATTGAATTCGAAATTATTAAGACATTAACTCGGTTAGAACTGCTCGTCCAAAGTACGTGAACGTTTCTTTACCTTCATCAGATGGAACGGCTAGTACTAGCATTCCTGCCACTCCTCCAAAGATCATGAAGGCAGCGTATGGAATACGACGACCATATCTGCAAAGGAGCAAACTGGTGTCACTCAGCTGGTCATTCACGAACAATCAAAGAAATAGCTGAAAATCTTTAAATCTCGGAGAAATGGCATTAAATGTATGCTAAAAACACGAGAAGGCCTGCTAAGTGAAAAAAATAGGGGCAAGTTAAGTGGTACTAAACATATGAAAAATGCGCAAACAGTAGAACACACAGACCCTGGAAAAATGCACGTGACTGGTGCAAAGGGATAAATGCATCAAACCGTTTTCTCCATTCTCTTTGTAAAACGGCTCTCTTCGGTTACAAAAAAGACACATGTTTCTGTAAATGGACACTAGCAAGGGAATAGCAGTGGTGGATCTAGGGGGGCCCCCGGGCCCCCACCGTATTATAAGGCAAATCCAAGGTCCGCACGGACATGAAAAAATATTTTCGAGGCCAGCCCCCCTTTTTATCTAAGGCACTGAACGAGCGAGGCCTCCACTTACTTCAAGATCTGAATTCGCCACTGGATCGTAGGTATCAATTGCTCCAAAAACCTATTGGTTTGGGCGGTTTTTAGTGAGACTGATAAACTGTATTGAGCTAACGCAGTTACGGACAATAGGAACAAAGCACATTTCAGCAAAGCACCAAAATCCCTCATTACTTTTAAAAGTTTCAAGTCATAAGTTTACTTTAATTGTCGATTTCCTTCCTCAATAAGCTGTTTAGTCACTGACATGGACACTTTCTATTGTTGCCGTGAGGGATTTTGTTCGCTAATTTCGATTATTTTTGCTTGGTAGAATTTTGGGTTTCGCAATCACAAACACTACCTTGACATTAAAAACCAGAGTAACAATGCTCCGGGAATTTCAACGATGCACAAGATAAAGAAATTGAGGTACATGTCTCCTGCCAAGTTTCCCACGTTCAAGTTTATTCCAAAATACACCAAGGCGTTCACGAACCTGTAAGAAGGAGGTAACAGGGAATTACCTTAATGCTTCCATTAAGCGCCCGGGGAGCTTCTTTACTAATGATACTTCACAGGGGGGGGGGGGGGGGGAGTTCTTGCTATAAAAATGGGCAAGATTTTTTAAAACTCACTCATTTGTAACAGCAACAGGCGCGGCAGTTGTTGTCCAAAAACAACACACCTCAAACACCACCAATATTTTCTACTTTGTTCTTCTAACTAGTCTGTTCAACGTCGATAGCTTCAGTGTTGGTTTGACCAATAACAAAGCCTTCAGGTCAATAACTTCTTCGTCCGATTCGTAATTCCGTCAATCATAGGGATCATTGTTACATGATTTGCTTATGCCCTGATGTACCACCTGATCTCAATGTAAATGTACTCTAACAGTGCTATCACTGAAAAAAAAATAAGGGCTCTTATTGTAGTAAGGGCTGTTACTTGTATAGGGGCGTTTATTTGAATGAGGGTGCTAACCCAATATTATAAATGGAGCTAAATCGAACGATTGAATTATTACGGTAAGCTTATTGCGTTAGATTTGCTTTTAGATGAGCGACTAGTTCATTGCACCTTGAGAGGATGTAATAAAAAAAATGACTGCGTATACATAGAGGTACAGGCACGAGAACCAGAAACTCAGTGTAGAGACTCAAAAGGATCCAAAAATTTGGAATTATATTGGTCAAGTGTTAAAGTGCGCTCAAATTACACGCAGAAAGCATTGATTGCAACAGAGAACGAGAAACGTTTCCTCCTTAGTTTTTTCCATCTGAGAAGTCATTCGCCTCACTGAGTTGGCCGATGCCCAAAGCACGAAAGTAGTCACATGTCAAGATTGACCTATATGTACAGACTCACCAGTTAAATCCACAAATCAAAGTTCTTTTCCTAAGCTTCGGTGTTCTGATCATGTCTAGAATACCATAGGTTTTCTTAATCTGATTGCCATTCCTTTCTTCTTCCTTCTTAAACTCTTGTATGGCGTGTTTGAGTTGTGCTGAGTCGATTTCAACTCGATTTTTCCTCGCGTATTTCATTAGCAGCTCATGAGCTTCGTCCAGACGATTCTTGGCGATCAACCAGCGAGGGGACTCGGGAATAATCCTTTGAAATAAACGAACAGAACAAAAAATGTTTGGTTACCAAGTGCAATCTTAAAATGGTGAGCATGCATCGCAAGGAAGCAACGAGCAAAAAATTCTTACCACCAACAGAGAAGCAGTGGAAGTCCTGGTAGAGACACAGTCAGCATAAGATACCTCCAGTCACGAATAAGATAAGCGAGGAACGACAGCATAGAAAATCCTATGCTGACAAAAATGTTGTTTACAATCCCTGCGGCAGTACGATGGTCAATTTGTATGATCTCCATGCAGTAGACGAAACGAACGAGAAGGCAGCCGGCTGTAGCAGCTCCAGTCACGAAACGAAACAGTGAGAACAATGAAAGACAGTCGGCGACGCCGGAAACTGTACCACCTACACCCTGTGGTATAAAAAATATACGTAATACAGTCAACATCATCTTAGCGGCACCTTTTTAAGAAGGACACCTCCTTAAAACGGACACCTAGAGTTAGTCCCTGTCGTTCTTCAGTCATTTTCTTTGACTTTGTATGAGATGGACACCTCCCTAAAATGGACACCTAGAGTTGGTCCATGGACGTTGCAGAAACGCGCCCATTGACAAACGTCACCAGTGAAAAGTGGGGTACCCATTAGGCTTTGCGAGCAAAATCGAGGTTTTAAGGGCTATCGCCGTTTTTGGTCTCCTACGAGCTTTATAGCAAATAACTGACAATTCTCACACTTTCAAGAGACAGTGCAGAAACAGTAGGAGTAGGCTGTCATGCACTGATTTCTTTTCCTCCATTTACTTGACTTCTCTATAAGACGGACATCTCTCTAAGACGGACACATATGTATAGTGCCGGTCACTTAGATGTCCGCTTTTTTGCAAGTGTTGACTGTACTATATGTCTGTGGATAGTAATTATTCATGCAAACCTCGGAAAATACGCGATCCGTTTTACGCGTGCGCCGTGATATCACTTGCCGAGCTAGAACTATCGCATATCTAGAAGTACAAATGTAATAACCGCTGAACTTTTCCGAGCACTAATATTGATAATTTCTTTCTTAAGTTCACTTTGTTAAAACAAATGGACGACAATTTATGCATGGATACTTTTTGGCGGCCAGGCGTGATATAATGGCATATTAAGTGGCCGTCAAGTCGAGTCAAGGCCAATTGAAAAATTGGAATTATATACATGTCGTAATCCAATTTATTTAATCCTTTTTAAGCTCACCTCATGCTTGTTCAGGGGCACCCAACGTCAATTTTTGGAAAATATCTGTTCTGAAGACGATTTGAGATCTAGAATTTTCGGAACATTTTTTGTAAAATTGCTTGCTTGCCTGCCTCTCCTAGGATTTTCGAACATCTAAAAGATGGTATAATTGCCCATTTTTAACGGATTTTTATCCTAAAAAGGTCACCTAGAATTTTCGCGAGCCTTTTTTCTGGCTGAAATTTTCGAAAAAGTAGGTTTTGATCCCTGTAATTTTCGGATCACTAGACTTTCAGCTAGGAAATCCGAACAGGTGAAAAATTTTTAGGGGGTACTGAATGTGCCTATATCTACCGTTTAAGTACTAAAATACGTTCAACAATGCTATGTATAAGTGGTTTTGGAACTATATTCTCGTTGGGTGCTCCTGCTTGGTACTTTATTGTTTTTCATTTCGTTGAATATATTTCCCCTGCTAACTGGCCACAGTTGGTGTACGTATGTTTAACAATTATTCCTCGAGTCAATAGCCCAAGAGGCCGAAGGTCGAATGGGCTATTGACTCAGAGGGGATGAGGGCGAGAGGAATAATTGTTTTAGTAAAATCCAACTAGTTGGTCAAAAATATCGAGAATAAAAAAATTTAGCTAGTTAAAGCTAGACTTTAGTCCTTTTTTGCCTCCAAAAAGCCCGCGCTTTTCGCTACTAGGGGGGCTATAACATATAGCCTAGTAGTAGCTCAACCAATCAGAATGCATCATTGATGATAGACCACTAGTTGGATTTTACTAATTCAGAATATTGGTTAATGTGAATACGTTTTTAATTAGCCGACAAGTGAAGGAGCTTGTCAAACACGGAATCACGCATGTATTTTTTGTGTCACTTTGTATTGTGGACAAACGATGTTTAAACTTCATCCAATATTAATTTTATTTCGTCGTAAGGATGGATATTTTGATTTCCTCCACACAACTCTCATGGCCTTAAGCTTTGTTCACCAACTTCTGACGTCAAACAAAATGAGCGTCAACTGTTTGCTGGCATCGGTTCCAGGTATTCACGGAACACAATTCAAACAGCCACATTTCAAAAACGATTCGTTCAATACTCACCATGATTAAGATACTGAGGAAAACTGCGACCTTGCGACCAAAATGATCAGAAAGTGTACTGAAGGCGACTGAACCAACCAATAATCCTCCCATGTAAACGGACTGGGTCATAGCTTTTAGGTGCTTTCTATCGCATACTAGGTCCCACTGCGAAAGAAAATCATGACAAAGTTGAACAAGGCAAAAAAATAAAGTTTGAGGCATAATCATCAAGGTCTTAAGCTTCGCTCTTCGATTCAACATTTTTGTGTCTTCCTTGTTTGACCCATTTCCTAGTCAACTTAGCCGGAGGAAAAAAGGCTGCCTACGATCCACCCTTTGTCGCATTTTACTTAGGTAGACTGTTCACAGTCCCCTATTTTTCCATTTAAAGATCGTCGGGATCGAGTACCCAGCCCAGGGTGGGATTTTCTGAGGTTTTGTTGGAAGCCCTGGGGATTTTTTTCGGGTTTTGATTTTTGCCCCATTCGATCATCCCCCGTCACTTCAAATCCGCAGTACACCTCTTGGGGCATCTACCCTTATGGGCAGGAATCTTGGTTTCAATGTGAAACGCTCGATCCCGACGACCTTACGGAAAAATAGGAGACTGAATAGTCTACGCATAAGCGTTTGTCATCGCAAGCTTTTGTTACCAAGGTAAAAATAAGCTGCTAAGTATTCTGTGCACGATATTGTCTGAACAGACAGAAAAATATTGCACTCAAAAACAATAATCAGAGATACATGTACCTGTACACAGCTTCAAGCAACCATACGAAAAGTACAAATATTAGATATTGCAATCCCTATCCCCAATTTTGGCTCTTGATTGGGCTTAATGGTTTCGCGCTCCATCTCAAGAGCTAGTGAACAAAGCCCTCGTGACTTGTTGCATATTGCAAGTACTGGATGACGATTTTGAAAGACAATCTGGGTATTTTTATTCAGCGACCATTATCAGATCTCAATATCTACTGCCAATAACAGGGCACTCACTTGATTAAAATTAATTTGGTTCTAAAAAAACGGCTAAACGAGCCCTTAATTTTCTTGAGTTCTTTTTCTTTTCAGTAACCCTTGATAAATTAAACCATATTCAAAGCAACGTAGTGGCTTGAACTTGCATCCCCGGTTCTGAATATATTTTCGAAGTCAAGTGAAATCCAATATAAGTTACATTTTCAGTAACCCTTGATAAATTAAACCATATTCAAAGCAACGTAGTGGCTTGAACTTGCATCCCCGGTTCTGAATATATTTTCGAAGTCAAGTGAAATCCAATATAAGTTACCTAATGCATATAAGCTGGGTATAAGCCTAAATATCCGGAGCCTAATTTATACAATGATTTGTAACAACATTCGTGCTGCGCTCTTTAGGATCAGGATTCTTCGCTTACTGACAACTCATATCATCGCTTAGTGAACACTTTTCTTAGCTTCTCTGCTAGAGCTACAGCCGTTCACAAAATTGTACCCCTTCTATTCCCCCTCCGTTCAAAATTAGGTTGTTTGTCGTTTCCTACTTGAGCAGCAGAGGAACAACATTGTTTAGAGGGGGTGGGTGAGGTAAAGCTTTATTTGTCCCTTTTGCGTGACGACACTAAAAACGGCTGTGTAGCAGACTACTTTTGACGTAGATTGTGTCGGCAAAACGTCAGAAATGTCCTCGCGGTGAGGTAAAGCTTTATTTGTCCGTTTAATTTGAAGTAGATTGTGTCGGCAAAACTTCAGAAATGTCCTCGCGATTTAAGTGTCTTGACTAATTTTGTCGCCTTTTGTATTGTATACCTCACAAAGCTCAATATTGCACTGACAAAATATGATTATGATGTGTATTACGATGCATTACTTTCGTAAAAGTATAGGGAAGTATACAGGGAATAGAACTACGTGTACTGCAAAAGAAATCGTCCTTATTCATTAAAGAGTAGGTAAACTCTATGTCCGGGTTTCGGTGTGTCGACGGGTTAACTACATGTATATATAACCAAGCAAGAAAAACGGAAGTTTTGCGATGTCAGTTTGGTGTTTCCGTCAGGACATGCAGCGTGCAGTGTAAATAGAACTGCAAGAATATTATAAAAGTTCGGAAAAGTATTAATAAAAGAATATTTTTCCAATTTCCGGTAACTTGATTTCAGCTCAGCCTCGATAAATGGACTCGTATACTTGGCGGCATTTATGAGAAGGTTTATCTGAAGGTATAATTCACAATTTTAAAAGAAAATCTGAGGTGAAGTTTGATTAGTTTTCTTATATCATATGACCACTGTATGATAGATAGTTTCACTTCATCCTTCTATAGCTTCCTTTAGAAGTACGGGAACTTCGGTACGATAAGTGAACTCTGTATTCGGCCGATGATTATCTCAGATATATATGCTTTGAAACGTTTACTGTTAGCGCAGAAATTATACTGACGAGTTTAAAATGGGTACGGAAGGAGGAATTTTCTTCAACATTCATGACGCAGATCTGGCAAATAGGATAGACGCTGAAGGGTAACTTTCATTTTTATCTCAAGTTCCTTTGAGCGAAAAAAAAATAGTAGCCCTGATCGCGATTATCTCCTAAACAACGTAACTAGGTTTAGAACGATGAACTAGACGTATACAGGAGACCTTCAGAGAATTTTCCCGCTAGCAGGCGGAGAAGAACCATTCTCTATCAGCTTGTTTGTTACGTAATTCATGCTATTGTCAATGGGTACGGGCCCAACAGATGACGAAGTTATGTCAGGACAGCCTTTGTTTATTGCTGTCTTTTCAGCTTAAACTGATTACAAGAGCACTCCAGCTTATCTAAGTATTGTATTAGATGCCCCAATAATTTTCAGGTGACGATGTAAAATGTACAGAGAAGCAATTACTTTAATATTCAGGTTTCTTATTCAGCTTACTGTTTGGAACTGGTGAATCTAAGGGATTTTAAATCAATTAAGAAGTACTCCTTACCTCAGTGACTGCACTAGTCAAACGATTACTGAAGTTGTAGTCGGTGCATTTTTCACAGCACGTTCCACTTTTTAGAACGGTACAAGTGTTGTTTCCCTGTGCGTTCGAAAAAGCAACGCAGGAATACTTTGGAGTGGCACCGTAAAACACTTGGACCAGTTGCTGTAGTCCGATGGGAAGAGACATTACACACATGAATGCATAAAGAAGAAAGGTATATCGACCGAAGCCGCCAACCATGGCTAAAAGGTCGTCGAATTCATAAGATTTTTTCGACTTAGAACTCTGCATTTCGCCCTCTTTTTCGCCCGACACGATGACTTCCTTGGTTTTTCACCTGAAGACAACGAAAGACTACGCAGATCTAGCGCTGATGGCTGGAACGTCCTTTTTTAATGCAAATATTGCCTTGACCTCGAAAGCGATATGCAGATAAACAGCAAAGTTATTTATATACCATATAGACTGTCAACAGCCGCCCCCTCCGTTAGATCAGGAAGAGGGATATCTGTGTGTCGCCGCTGTCAATCATGCTCCCTCTCCCCGTTTTTTAGGGGAGGGGGGCAGCTGTGCACAGGCGATATAGCCTGGTTTTGGTGATATGGATAATGCAACGAAGCACCGGACAGTCGAAAGATGGGGGATTTTACAGATTTGAGGATCGGGTAGATATTCCATAACTGGCTTGAATTCTATTAATAAAAACAGTTAAGCAATATACCATTAAGTATAATAAATCTAATTACAGACCGCTTTATTTACATGGCTTTTCGCCAGTCTGGCTAGTTTAAACATCAGCTTGAACTGATTCCCGGATGGGTCTCCCCATAATAGGGAGCTTTAGCATTGACGACGGCGACGGAAGCGAAAGTGTCACTTTTAAAATGAATTCGCGTTTTTCAAACTTTGTCGCGTTTATTCCAATTCACTGAAAATGTGAAATGTACCGGACTCAAGTTTAAAAAGAGTCGCTTGCTTACGGTTCTCCTAATCTCCTAATCCCTTTCCCTTGGCCGTGGGAGATCTGGGTACGAGATTACGGTTCTCCATAAAACGAGAAATTAGGCATTTTCAAGGCATTTTCGAGCAGTGACGAAAACGAAATATACAAAAAAGTGTGATGCACCATCTTTGATTTTATCTCTGAGGAAGATTTGGGAGAGTAGGAAACGCAACCCATAGGATAGGGGCGTTCTTCTCTCTTTCCCCTCTCCCTCCTCCCTCCCCCTCCCCCCCGCTGGTTTCCCTCTTAAAAAATTCACTGAAAGCGATCACTCGAGTAAGACGTCCTTTTTTGCCAATTGACAAACAGACTCTGCAGTGAAAGCTTGGTAGCCCTGTTTCTTCCCGAGACTCTCTTATGCCAAACATATCAGACAATGGTGGACATCAATCAGGACAACGAATTATATGGAAAAACCACGCCCCTGCCCATTACACTGCTTCAGGTATGGTTTACTTGTCTCCGGAATATCTCTATAGAAATCAAGGATGTTGAGCATGGACTGCAAAGTAAGCTATTTTTTAATTTAGCGCCATTAACCTTGAGGTTAGCTTGAGGTTTGCAACAACAACAACATAAGCTTTATTTGCATGACTATATGTAGTTACAGTATTGCAAAAGCTTTAAGATAAACTTAAAATTTATACTAATTGATATTACTAGTAATGGTTGACACTATAGTTGCCCCCGCTCTGTATATTGTCGGACAATAGTATTCTTGCTCGTTGTGTAGCTCTTGAAAATATACCGATTCATAATGAAGATTTTCACACATATTCCATACAATAGGTGAGATAAATACAGGAAACGCAAGGTTCAAATTTCAAAAGAATGTGAATTTACAGAAAAATTCTGTGAATTCATCAATTTAATAATTAATTCTGTGCAAGACAGCTGATTAAAATCGCAAAATTTTATTGGATTTGAACAATGCAAGAGAAAATGAAATTCATCTTCAATTATACCAGAGTTTCAAACAGGGCAGAATCTATCGTTGTGGGAAGTTTGATTATATCTTCCAGTTTCAATCATGAGTTTTTGGTTACTTATACGAATTTTCACTAAGTCTTTCCTATTGGTTAAAATGATGAGCACACGCTATACACTTAGGATACCTAGAGATACATGGTGGACGTGTATCGCATTGCGGTGAAACTCTCACGCAATTCCAGAAACAAAATTAAATGATACAGGACCTTGAATAATTCACTGAAATTACGTTCTTTTCTTTTAACTCTAAGGCAGCAGACAAAGCGCAGTCGCCATCTGCTGAAACGCAGCTGGTATGAAAATTTAATACCTTGAGGAAGAGCCAATCATTTTTCTCCTTTTTTGGGTTATAAACATGATTGTCAGGTATACATTTAGTAGAGTCAGTTGTAGCAAAGTTTGACTGTAGATTAGATCGCAGGTAAGTCAGGGTAGAAATAGAGAGAAGTTTGACGTCACGTTACCATGGTAGCAAATTATGGAAGCTTAATCAACGAGATTAGCAAAAAAGCAGTAGGTTTAGACTGGCAAATAAACAACTCTGCACATACCTCACGCTTTTTTATACATTTTTTAGCCGTCATTGCACGATTGTGACATGAAATTTCTTAATTTCATGCGACCGCTTTATGGAATAGGTGAACACAACACAAAAATTTACTTTTTCTTTTTCTAAATCTAGATACTGTCCTTTCGGATTCAACCCCAGAGAATTTCCTATGGAGGGGAATACTGGAAAAAAATGTTATTAGATCGTACCATAAGGTGCATTATATCGAATTTGTCTGTATACTATCTTATGGTCCCCGGTATGCTGTTATGTCGTACTCGGTGATGTTGTATTCTAACCGGAACACTGTTATATCGTACTCGATAACCTAATATCGTAACCAGAATAGTATTGTACTCCAATGCTTATGTATCACCCGGTAGCCATAGATCGTAACTTCTATGCTGTTGTTTCGTACTCGAAAACCTGATATCGTAACCTGAATGTTGTTGTATCGTACCCGGTAAACTTATATCGTAGTCTGAATGATGTTGTTTCGTACTCGGAAACCTCATATCGTAATCTGAATGATGTTGTATCGTACCCTGTAACCATAGATGGTATCCAGGAAATTGTCATGTCGTGCACCGCGACTGTATATTATAGCCGGGATGCTGAACATTTTATCGACATTTTCACAGCGATATATAAATTCTTGTGCGGACCTATTAGGTCATTTTATATGAAAGACCAGATCTTCTTACCCTTTCATATACAGGGTATTTCANTAGATACTGTCCTTTCGGATTCAACCCCAGAGAATTTCCTATGGAGGGGAATACTGGAAAAAAATGTTATTAGATCGTACCATAAGGTGCATTATATCGAATTTGTCTGTATACTATCTTATGGTCCCCGGTATGCTGTTATGTCGTACTCGGTGATGTTGTATTCTAACCGGAACACTGTTATATCGTACTCGATAACCTAATATCGTAACCAGAATAGTATTGTACTCCAATGCTTATGTATCACCCGGTAGCCATAGATCGTAACTTCTATGCTGTTGTTTCGTACTCGAAAACCTGATATCGTAACCTGAATGTTGTTGTATCGTACCCGGTAAACTTATATCGTAGTCTGAATGATGTTGTTTCGTACTCGGAAACCTCATATCGTAATCTGAATGATGTTGTATCGTACCCTGTAACCATAGATGGTATCCAGGAAATTGTCATGTCGTGCACCGCGACTGTATATTATAGCCGGGATGCTGAACATTTTATCGACATTTTCACAGCGATATATAAATTCTTGTGCGGACCTATTAGGTCATTTTATATGAAAGACCAGATCTTCTTACCCTTTCATATACAGGGTATTTCAACTTGTTGAATCCGCACCGTTCATATTCCTGAAGCCTGAAAAAGGTACCCCTTTAAGGCGGCGCCTCCCCGTATAGGCCATTATAGGGAGAACCCCGCCCCCCCTCCCCCAACCGTGGACCCAGAGTCTTCAAGCCTCCTTGGAGTTTTTACGAATTTTGCAATTAACTCATCTAAAATTGAAGGAGAGTGGATCGTCTCATCCAAAGGTAAAATCCCTAAGACCTTTTGTCATAAAATGGCCTGACGAACCGATCAAAACCCTTGGGTAATATTACTCTTATTACATCAAACTTTTGCACCAAAAGAAAGAAGTATTAAGAGATTGGACAGTGTCAAAAAAAAATTATCAAAATCTGGTTTTTAAGGGTTCTTTCTATCTGTGGGAAAGTAAGAATAACAAATTTTTCATTATACCAAAATTAAACACCTGTTGAAAAAGTGAGATTTGAAATACCTTGAAAATTAACGACGAGTAATATAAAAATGTGCATTTTTGACGCATAATGGTAAAAAACAACGGTTGACGAGGGTATTCGATGGCTAACGGTTAAACGCCTTTAGCAAGCAAAGCAGGTAAAGCAATTAAAGCACCTCAGGCAAGCATCAGAAGCAAAGACGGTACATTATAGTGATCATATATGACGTACCTATCTGCGCAATTTTGAAAGCCGCTGACCACATTTTCACTTTGTGCGACTTGAAAGAAAGCTACGACATAATACTATCGGGTACGACATAACAGCATCTCGGCTGTTACGTACAGTCGCGTTGTACGACATAACAATTTCCTGGATACCATCTATGGTTACCGGGTACGAGACAACAACATTCAGGTCACGATATAAGTTTACCGGGTACGATACAACATAATTCAGATTACGATATGAGGTTACCGAGTACGAAACAACAGCATAGAAGTTACGATCTATGGCTACCGGATGATACATCAGCATTGGAGTACGATACAATACTATTCTGGTTACGATACAAAGTTACCGAGTACGATATAACAGTGCTCCGGTTACAATACAACATCACCGAGTACGACATAACAGCATACCGGGTATAAAACTATCAACATATGATTTTCCGAGTCAAGTCAAAGGTTGGATTGTTGACTTCTTGATGGACCGGAAACAAAGAGTTAAACTTGCTCAGGATTGCCACTCTGAATGGCGCTCTGTGCCTTCCGGTGTCCCCCGGGGAACAAAACTAGGCCCCTGGTTATTTCTTGTCATGATTAATGACTTGGACACACCAGTTGACATGTGGAAATACGTGGATGATACATCTTGTTCCGAAATAGTTACAAAGGGTAGTGAGAGCAAACTCCAAGAAGCTCTGGATGACCTTTCGAGACAAGCGAGTCTCGATGGGTTCCAACTGAATGAGGCCAAGTGCAAAGAACTTCGAATTGGAT